TCTTCAGCCACCACAAAAGTGTCCTTTCCTCTCCAGGAAAACGCTCTTCAGATAACGAACACAAAACTGTCTTTTTCGGGACATTGCTCTTCAGCCACCACAAAAGTGTCCTTTCCAGGATAACGATCTTCAGCGAACACAAAACTGTCTTTTTCGGGACATTGCTCTTCAGCCACCACAAAAGTTTCCTTTTCCAGGAGAACGCTCTTCAGCGAACACAAAACGGGACATTGCTCTTCAGCCACCACAAAAGTGTCCTTTCCAGGAGTCCTCTTCCAGGAAACTGCTCTTCAGCGAACACAAAACTGTCTTTTTCGGGACATTGCTCTTCAGCCACCACAAAAGTGTCCTTTCCAGGAGAACGCTCTTCAGCGAACACAAAACAGTCTTTTTCGGGACATTGCTCTTCAGCCACCACAAAAAAGTGTCCTTTCCAGGAGAACGCTCTTCAGCGAACACAAAACTGTCTTTTTCGGGACATTGCTCTTCAGCCACCACAAAAGTGTCCTTTCCAGGAGAACGCTCTTCAGCGAACACAAAACTGTCTTTTTCGGGACATTGCTCTTCAGCCACCACAAAAGTTTCCTTTCCAGGAGAACGCTCTTCAGCGAACACAAAACTGTCTTTTTCGGGACATTGCTCTTCAGCCACCACAAAAGTGTCCTTTCCAGGAGAACGCTCTTCAGCGAACACAAAACTGTCTTTTTTCGGGACATTGCTCTTCAGCCACCACGCTCTTCAGCGAAAAAGTGTCCTTTCCAGGATAACGCTCTTCAGCGAACACAAAACTGTCTTTTTTCAGGACATTGCTCTTCAGCCACCACAAAAGTGTCCTTTCCAGGATAACGATCTTCAGCGAACACAAAACTGTCTTTTTCGGGACATTGCTTTCAGCCACCACAAAGTGTCCTTTCAGGATAACGATCTTCAGCGAACACAAAACTGTCTTTTTTTCGGGACATTTTTTTTTTCAGGAGGAACGATCTTCAGCGAACACAAAACTGTCTTTTTCGGGACATTGCTCTTCAGCCACCACAAAAGTGTCCTTTCCAGGATAACGATCTTCAGCGAACACAAAACTGTCTTTTTAAGGACATTGCTCTTCAGCCACCACAAAAGTGTCCTTTTCCAGGAGAACACCACAAAATCGAACGAACAAAACTGTCTTTTTTCGGGACATTGCTCTTCAGCCACCACAAAAGTGTCCTTTCAGCCACCACAAAAGTCTTTTCGGGTCCTTTCCAGGAGAACGCTCTTCAGCGAACACAAACTGTCTTTTCGGGACATTGCTCTTCAGCCACCACAAAAGTGTCCTTTCCAGGAGAACGCTCTTCAGCGAACACAAAACTGTCTTTTCGGGACATTGCTCTTCAGCCACCACAAAAGTGTCCTTTCCAGGAGAACGCTCTTCAGCGAACACAAAACTGTCTTTTTCAGGGACATTGCTCTTCAGCCACCACCAAAAAGTGTCCTTTCCAGGAGAACGATCTTCAGCGAACACAAAACTGTCTTTTTCGGGACATTGCTCTTCAGCCACCACAAAAGTGTCCTTTCCAGGAGAACGCTCTTCAGCGAACACAAAACTGTCTTTTTCGGGACATTGCTCTTCAGCCACCACAAAAGTGTCCTTTCCAGGAGAACGATCTTCAGCGAACACAAAACTGTCTTTTTCGGGACATTTTTCAGGACATGTCCTTTCTCTTCAGCCAACACAAAACTGTCTTTTCGGGACAGGAGAGCCACGTGTCCTTTCAGGATAACGAACACAAAACTGTCTTTTTCGGGACATTGCTCTTCAGCCACCACAAAAAGTGTCCTTTCCAGGATAACGATCTTCAGCGAACACAAAACTGTCTTTTTCGGGACATTGCTCTTCAGCCACCACAAAAAGTGTCCTTTCCAGGAGAACGATCTTCAGCGAACACAAAACTGTCTTTTCGGGACATTGCTCTTCAGCCACCACAAAAGTGTCCTTTCCAGGAGAACGCTCTTCAGCGAACACAAAACTGTCTTTTTTCGGGACATTGCTCTTCAGCCACCACAAAAGTTTCCTTTCAGGAGAACGCTCTTCAGCGAACACAAAACTGTCTTTTTCGGGACATTGCTCTTCAGCCACCACAAAAGTGAGAACGCTCTTCAGCGAACACAAAACTGTCTTTTTCGGGACATTGCTCTTCAGCCACCACAAAAGTGTCCTTTCCAGGAGAACGCTCTTCAGCGAACACAAAACTGTCTTTTTCGGGACATTGCTCTTCAGCCACCACAAAGTGTCCTTTCCAGGAGAACGCTCTTCAGCGAACACAAAACTGTCTTTTTCGGGACATTGCTCTTCAGCCACCACAAAAAGTGTCCTTTCCAGGAGAACGCTCTTCAGCGAACACAAAACTGTCTTTTTCGGGACATTGCTCTTCAAAAGCCACCAGCGAACACAAAACTGTCTTTTCAGGACATTGCTCTTCAGCCACCAAAAGGAGAACGATCTTCAGCGAACACAAAACTG